TTTCATTTTTGGAATAATAAATCTTCAGAGTAGTTTTTACAGTTATATCAAAACTATTTAACTAAAACAACAACCTTATAGCATATGTATCCATTTTTGTTAACTGATGTGGTTAAACAATTAAAAAACAAAACCTTAGACTGAGTTTTAGCACATATGAAAAACTTAAAACAAATCCTAATTTCCTGATGAATAGCATTTGGACTATAAAGGTAAAGGTAAAGGTAAAGGTAAAGGTACCCCTGCCCGTACGGGCCAGTCTTGACAGACTCTAGGGTTGTGCGCCCATCTCACTTAAGAGGCCGGGAGCCAGCGCTGTCCGCAGACACTTCCGGGTCACATGGCCAGCGTGACAAGCTGCATCTGGCGAGCCAGCGCAGCACACGGAACGCCGTTTACCTTCCCGCTAGTAAGCGGTCCCTATTTATCTACTTGCACCCGGGGGTGCTTTCGAACTGCTAGGTTGGCAGGCACTGGGACCGAACAACGGGAGCGCACCCCGCCGCGAGGATTCGAACCGCCAACCTTTCGATCGGCAAGCCCTAGGCGCTGAGGCTTTTACCCACAGTGCCACACGCGTCCCTTTTATTTGGACTATAATGTAACTTAAATAGAAAACTACGTTTAGAAAGATTTTTCCTCCAAAAGCATTTTTTTAAAAAATAATAATAAATAAATCCAATTTAAATTAAAAAATCCAATTTAAATCAAAAAAGCCAATTTGATTTTTTTAAAAAACCAATTTTTATTTTTATTTTTTTAAAAAAACAACATTCATTTTTATCCACACTGATGTGGTGCTAATGTGCCTGCTGGAGTACCAGTTTGGTTCTCCCAATGCATTTGATTTGCACCACACTGACCTTGTCTCCCTCCCTCTGTCCCAGTAAGCAGCAATGGCTCAGCTGGAAGGAGGTCAGGTCAGCAGCACAGCCCTACTGCACTCTCTGATACTGGGGATGGGGAGGTGGAATGAAAACAAGCATGGCTGGCCAGCTGCAATGTTTTGTTGTAGGTTCTGTTTGTTTCTCACCACACATGGATTCTTTCATGACATCCCAAAGCGCATTATTTGTTCTCCTGGAACCGCAGAGTACTTGGAATGTAAATATATAAACAGAGACACTGGTATTCTCTTCCGCAAGACAAACTGTCTTTGGCAATAAATTTTTATAGCAATATTAGTACATTAAAAAAAAAAACCTAATTGAACCAAAGTTTTTCAATACCTTTCACCACCACCATGACCCTTGTCCTGAACCTTTTTGGCTATCACTTTAACCAGACTTGCTTAAAAAGCTTTTCTGTTTTCAAATTGTGCTTATTGTACCTCTCCCATTGAAATCAGTGAGCTTTAGATAGGCTTAACATCATGCGCATCTTTTGTAATCAAATATTTTCTTTCTTTCCTACAAAGAAGGGGATATTTGATCCAGCTATGACTAGCATATGCTGATGTCTTCTGTTTATTTTCTGGCATAATAGGATAGTTTGGGTACAAAATAATGTTTCATGTACTGTACTGTTCTTATTTAAAATTCAGTATGCAGAATTTGGTGAATCCTATCTACCACCCATATGCTCAGCAAAGATAAGCCACCTTCATTTGTGGAGTGTTTCACGTTATTCGATTAGTTCTTTTTTAAACTGCTTTTTCAAATACAGTTTTCCTCCTGGTCTAAGAAAACGATCTGTTTAGTAAGAAACTGCCACTATTGGAAGACTTTTAGCCTCCCTCTCTCTCTTCTCTCCTCTCTCTCTGTGTGTGTGTGTGTGTGTATAGGGGTTGGGGATCAGGCACAATACAAGTACCCATTTCTCTCTTCCTCTGGGCACCGAAAAGAGGTGTGTGTGATTTAGCACATTACCCGCCGCATCTGGCATTCATAAAAACTAAAATCCCCCACAACTACTTTCAAAGGTTAAAGAAGTCGGAAGATTCTATACTGACCGTATGAAAGTAGTGAGGATATACCAAACACTGGGTTAAGACTGCTTTTTCAGTTGCATGTGGTACCGAAACTGATATTATAAGATTTATATAGGTGGGTGCAACTAAGAAAAGGAATATAAACCTAAAGCTACCCTTTTATGTGTTAATTAATCCAATGGCCACAAGATGTCAGTGATGTTTCTTGCAGTTTCTATCTACCACTTCTAAGTGGGAAAAATGACTGTATTGGCACCAGTGAGGGGTCTCTCTCCCCCATCCTTTTGGGATGGAGATTTGCATCAGGACCACAGCTTCAGGAGTGAAAGTTTAACACACCACCCCGTATGCTGTAGTCTCATTTCTGATAAGTCCTTCCCAGCAACTGCTATTTACAGTAAAGACAATTTTTGCAATGTTAAATCACGTGTAAAATGGCATCTGAGATATTTCTTTGCGTAAACAATTTAGACTTGAAAAGTTGCATTGTTCAGTCACCAAAGATACCGCAAACACATCCAAGTAAAAAAAAAGCTGGTTCCCCCGCCCCCTCAGCCCTGAGCTATTGGAAATAGTAGCAGTTGAAGGGAAGAAATGATGGGGACATTTTAAAAATGAAATGCTGATTTTTGATAGTTCATTTGTTTTTTTGTTTGTTTTCCAGCTACATATGGCTGTCTTAACAGTAAGTAGTACATGAAATCAATTCACAGAGGATTTCCTCTTCCTCTGTTTGGAAAGAACAAATACTAACTTGGCCTCACCTGCCTTGGGCAAAGATTAAGATATTTCAACAATATATTTTACCTCAATATCTGAACACTTTGCTCAAGTTTTACTTCCCACTGTGATGTACACTCTGCAATCCCTAACTTGTTTTGAATATGTTTACAAGTGCCATCTTTACACACCTACATCTTTTTATAAGGTTTAATACCAGTTCAGTTTGCACCAGTCTCCACCCACCCCAAGCCTCTGGGTATTGTAGTTTGGTGAAAGTGCTGAAAATTCTTTATTAGAAGTTTTAAGTTATTTCATTAAACTACAGTTCACTGTACAGCTCCGGGCCAGCCCAATACATTTTGGCACCTGAGGCGAACCACAAAATAGTATGTCCCCACCCTCAGCCAGGGAAGAAGGGTTGAGTGAAGATCTACATTGGGAACAAGGGTGGGAGGAGATCAGGAGGGCCTCCTATGGGTCAAAAGCCTCTATAGCAGCATAGGCAAACTCAGCCCTCCAGAAGTTTTGGGACTCCAGAAGTTTGGGACTACAACTCCCATCATCCCTAGCTCACAGGACCAGTGGTCAGAGGATGGTGGGAGTTGTAGTCCCAAAACATCTGGAGGGCCGAGTTTGCCTATGCCTGCTTTACAGCCTCTACAGAGGCAGCACTGGGGAAGCAGATGATCTGACCTCCAAACGCAGCAGCAGGTGAATGCGTTCCATGGAGGCCGGATCTGCTGCTCCTGTGGATCCCTGCCACCTGAGGCAGTCACCTCACCTTGCCTCATGCAGGAGGGGCAGCAGCCCTGGTACAGCTGATAAATCACAGACAATAGTTTGTTAAATGTAGGATTTCTTTATTTTTTATTGACACACTAACAAAAGCAGACTAATGTTTAATCACAGATACTGAGTTTATTGTAGATTTTGTTGCTAACAACAACTAAATAAATAAAATAAACATAATAGATTTGCTGTTGGAGTTTGGAGGGATGAAGAGGGTCTTTTTCACCACCTGGTTTTTACTCTACTCTCCCCCATGTTGCAAAGGATAAGAAGCCCCTATCAACCCAAGGGCCACATTCCTTCATGGACAATCTCCTGGGGCTGCGTGGCAGTGGTGGGTGGGGATCAGTGGCAATGTGGGCAGAGAAATTAATAGGACTCTTACTTTGTACTGTAGGTTACATTCTGGTCATGCAAAAGTCAGCTTTATACACACACACCCACACATCTCTCCATCCAGACAAGCAGGGAGCATTATCAGAGTTCAAAGACACATTCCAGCCATGCAGAAACACTCCAAGAAGATGCAGAGAGGAGTGTGGCCTAGAGATTGCTTGCGGGCTGGATAGAAAGGTCTAGGGGGCTGACAGTCCCCCACCCCCTGAACCAAGCTCCACACACCACACTTTACAAATAGCTGGAATGATTGGTTATAAAGCTTATTCTTCCTGTAGTCTGATGTTCATTAGTTTTGACTGTCCCTGTTAAGTAGTGGCCAGGAGACGGCAGTTTTTCACTTTGCGTGGTAGACTATTGTGGCTGTTACACTCGAAGTAAAACCAGTCTCATTGCCCTAAAGGACCTCTCCAGACTAGTGTTTTATTGCAGGTGCATTTTGCATAATGTTCTTAACACAATAATAGTGCATTTAGTGGTGGATTTATTCTGGTTTTAGTTTATTCTGAGATACTTCCCCAATGCTACCATATTATTCTGTCTGGAGGGACAGTGCAACAAAAGGCAGAACAAAAATAAACCAGAACATTTGTACGTATAAATAAAATAGCAAGCTTATGGGATTTTGCACTGATTGGAAGTAAAGCAGTGTGTCAGCGCCCCAACATTTGCAGGCACAAACAGTATTGAAAGTGTGTGAATTGCCCCCAATAGCATCAAGAGAACAAAGTAATCATGAATGTGCACTATAAAATTATGTCAGGAGAGGTCCCATGTTTCTGTAGTTGCTACACTGAGATATGATTGACATTCTGCAGGGAAATGTGTATTAAAATCTGTTGGCTTTATTTAAATCTATTCAAAGATTAGAAGTCTTGAATATTGGGTGGTTTGGTGAACTGACTATATGGTATCTATGTGGGTGCTGCTGCTTTATTAATTCCCTGAATGAGAGCTGGGGTTATGGAAAGTTTGCAAGACAGATATTTATATACACATCTCACAGTTTCACAGTTTGTTATGACTAGTTACAGATCCAGGAAAGATGAAGTAAAAAAATCCTGCGTTGAGATTTATAGTCCACCTGTGATCAAACAGAATTGTACTTGCTTCATTTTTACTATGAAATTCAATGCTTTCTTAAAACAGATCTATACCAACCCTAAAGAACCTGAGGTAGAGAAAGTCAAAAATCAAGTAGGCAGAAATTATGCTTTATGTTCAAGTTAGCCAGAATCTCAGCTTCCACCACCACACATGCATGCTTGGAACATAGAAGCTGGTTATACTGAGTCAGGGCCACTGGTCCAGCCAGCTCAGCTTTATCTACAATGACTGGGCAGATGCTCTCTAGAGTTCCAGACAGGGATATACCCAGACCTACTTGAGATGCTGAGGATTGAATCTGGGACCTTTTGCATGCAAAGCTGGTAAGCTAAAGCTCTTTCCTTTGCTAAACATGAGGACACAGCTTTATTTTAAAAAAGAAAACCACAGAAGGCACTCCTAGACAATCATTTCTAGATCTACAATCATCACCAAGGACTAAGCTGAAGCCATGAATCTTACTTCAATTTCCAATTGCCTATTGGATCTGTCAGCAGCTGAAGGAAGTGTCTGGCAACAAGCCCTCCTTTTGCCATTATGGTTGGCTTTAGAACATCCACATTCAGCAGAAGAGGGAGGTGTCAAAACCAGCTTGCAGTTTTTATCCTGAATTATTATGATTTTTATTTGATTTATTTTTTGTATCATTTTGTTCATTGTAATTGCTTTGTGCAATTTTGTTAGCTGTTTTGATCATCCTAATGAGAAGGCATGATGTGAACTTAATCAGTACACATTTGAGTAGGGACGCAGGTGGTGCTGTGGGTTAAACCACAGAGCCTATGGCTTGCTGATCGGAAGGTCGGCGGTTTGAATCCCCGCGATGGGGTGAGCTCCCATTGCTCGGTCTCTGCTCCTGCCAGCCTAGCAGTTTGAAAGCACACAGTGCAAGTAGATAAATAGGTACTGCTCTGGCGGGAAGGTAAACGGTGTTTCCATGCGCTGCTCTGGTTTGCCAGAAGCGGCTTAGTCATGCTGGCCACATGACCCAGAAGCTGTACGCCGGCTCCCTCAGCCAGTCAAGCGAGATGAGCGCCACAACCCCAGAGTCGTCCGCGACTGGATCTAATGATCAGGGGTCCCTTTACCTTCTTTTCATTTGAGTATAATCACAGCATCTCCCACTCTGAGTTAGTGAACTCATTTATGCTTACACTGGTACCTCTAGTTAAGAACTTAATTCGTTCTGGAGGTCTGTTCTTAACCTGAAACTGTTCTTAACCTGAGGTACCACTTTAGCTAATGGGCACTCCAGCTGCCGCCGTGCCGCTGGAGCACGATTTCTGTTCTCATCCTGAAGCAAAGTTCTTAACCCGAGGTACTATTTCTGGGTTAGTGGAGTCTGTAACCTGAAGCATCTGTAACCTGAAGAATCTGCAACCCGAGGTACCACTGTATTTCAGAACAAGCAAACCATTTCATTTTTTTATTTTATTTTTTGCCCTCCTTCAGCTGTTTACTTTTTCCATACACAGTTTTTCTTAGCATGACAGATGAGTTGGCTGGCACCATTGTACACGGAGCGCTAAATGTTCCAGCTAATTAGAGCCAAAGTAATGTAATAAATGGTCTGTGTATGGATAAAATAACATTTTATAGGACAAACATAAAGTTTCTGTGTAATGGCATCAAGTGTGGGACTGTCCTTAATACAACACAGTAATGATATCTAAGGACAAAGCAATCAACTTGAAGAAGGGAGTAAAATGTCAACAGATAGCTCATGTGCTTTAATCTAAGGAGATGGAAAACACTTTCTGAGATCTCATGTGGGAATTATTATATGGCTAGAACAGCCCATGATGGTCAGAAGTCTATTTGTTACAGTAGCAAGTTACAATCGGTCTTGCTCTTTGCTTTTCGATCTCCAGCACATGACAGAATTCTACCGGTTCAAGTTCAAGTATTCAAGGAATGGACCTCAGATGGACTTTGATAGGTAAACACTTCATCATTTAATTTCTCGGACAAATACCTTGAGAGAGATGCTTGCCTTAAAACAGGGATGGGAAACCCTTTTCAGCTTGTGGGCAACACTCCTTCATGGGAAACCTTCCAGGGGCCACATGCCAGCCCTAGGGCCTAGGCAGTGCCAGAACCTAAAAGGAGCAGGGTCTATGTTTTTTTTACAGAAAGGCTATCCAGCAGTCAGAGGTTTCTACACTTCTCTCCATCCTCTATCCAGGTAAGCAAGAGACATTGTTCAAGGACACATCAGAACCAGGCAAAAGCTCTAGAGGAGGGGCAGTGAAGGGCATGGTCTGAGGAGAGTCCTGAGGGATGGACAGAGGCCTGGAGGGCTGCCTTTGGTTCCCTATCCCTGCCTTGAAGTGTTTAATTTGAGAAAACTGCTCTTATGCAGACAGACTTTTGTTTTATTTATTTATTTACTGTGTAGTGCCTTTTCACATGCAAACTACTTTGCAGTCTATTATTGCATGTCTCCTACAACAAGCCTGTGAATTAGATACCGTAACTAATAAGATTTCTCTTTACAGTACTAAGGGTGCAATCATGTGTCCACCTCCTAAGGAATAAATCATAATAAATACAGTGGGACTTGCTTCAGGGCAAGATCAGGATCAGACCAGAGACAATAGTGAGTTGCCTCAGGCCATATTCTGATTGACTGACAGATGAACTGAGATGTATTACGTAATTGGGACTCCAAATTGCACACTTCCTGTCAGATGGTGCTTTCCCCACCACTGCCACCAGGGTGGCACAAATCATGTGAACTGTAGTTGTAAACAGTTCCACAACATCATATACCATTCTAGTTAAAATACCCTGTACAAACCTAGAATTCAGATTTCTTTGATAACCACTTCACAAGGTACCTCATGATGTACCTCCATGATGAAAAAAATGTTAATGTGATTTGGCACTTTCAATTCCTCTTGAATATCTCACTACTCACTTTGCACCTAGTCTCTCGCTGTGTGACTGGAGCTAGATGTCAAGATCTGGTTTGCAGATTTAGAGGTGCTGAAATAAACCTGTTCAGCTTGCTATAATAAATCTTTCTTAGAAGGATGAGCACATACTCTCCAGTGGCAATCTGATGGTTTCTGAAATTTGCTTCCTTATTTCTTAGATTAGGATCTCATGGATACAAATGCTGAACCAATATGAAGTATTCATAACCATTTTTAATTTTGGAGCTGTGCCCTTTCCACAGTCATAGTGTCCAATTCAGTGTTTAATGACAAATTTTGTAATTTCCTAAGGCAGTAGCCCACTGCAATCTGTCTTTCCTATTTATCTTGATTTATAGTGGTTGAAAGTCTCTGCAGCCCTTTTATATCCTTACTGTTAAAATGTGTCAGTGGGTGTTCTATATTTGCCAGTGGGGCATAAGTGGCAGTGGTTGCTTTTGTGACTGAAATCATTTTGCTATTTGGCTTCTACTGTCGCTGTGAATTGATGTTTCAATCCTTGAGAATGGTTAGATGCTATAGCCAACATGTACACACTGGCTTGCGTTGGTGTAACTACAATGTTATCCTAAGTCTGGCACTCAATCTGCAATCTATTTCAGAAGAGGCTGCAGCAGCATATCACTGTACATGTTTCAAGTTGTCTTGTTGTAAGTAGATCTGTGATAGCTGAAGTGTCTTCAGATGGCACATACCTCTTGTCCTATCCTTGGCCCTCTTTCCATGTGTCTTCCACACATTTATGAAAGATATAATGACACAGAACACTTCAGAGTCAGTTCTAATGTTTCATAGGTTGCTCGCTCCCACAAATAATTTATCACGTGAAATTATATGATTACAGTACTGTGAACTCATGTAAGATCATTGCTCCGATTCCATGAAACAGACACATTGTTAAAATTTTTCCAACAGATGCAATCAGATTTGCAATCTTGTGTGTGTTAAAGGCTTTCATGTCACACTGCTCATGCAACTAGTGTTCACACGAGCAGTTATTCATGAGAGCGGAACTGTCCATGAATGTCAATGGCACATCATCTTGCAACTGACTCATGCTCCTGTGGGTTCAAACTCCTAGGGTTGGCTCACAGGTTGGGGGAAGGACCAAAGTTCAGTAGCAGAGCACATGCTTTCCATGCAAAAGGCCCAAAGGTTTGGGAAAGACTCCTGCCAATGAATGGGATCAGTGGTTTGACATAGCACATGTCAGCTTCCCATGTTGTCAGTACACAGCTATGCATTGCACTGGTATTGCATATAAAGTAGTGTCCCTTTCATCTGATCCTGCACATCTATTTTCTGGTGCAGTAGCTTGTTTTTGTAGGATTATATTGAACTTCAGCTCCTTGATTCAGTAAACTGTTTCTTGGCACCTGTTGAGTGTATCTACTTTTAAAGTTTGTTTTATGCCTTAATGTTGAGCCATATGATTTGGAGCAGACTTTGACTTCTTTATTGTTTCAGTGGTGACACTCAAGGGAACTTTACAAATGGAGGAAACAGTGAGGAAATTAAGCAAGCCAGCATCTTGCTGATCCGCAAACTGTATGTCTTAATGCAGAATCTTGGACCGCTGCCTAATGACATTACATTGACCATGAAACTGTTCTACTACAATGATGGTAGGTGATGATATTCCACCTTTCTTTGCTTCCCTTAATTTAATTCCCAGGACTAGCACACAAACAAGGAAATTGGGGAAATTTATGTCAGAGTTTGCAGCTTGGAAGCAAATTGGTTAACAAGGTGGGCAGCAGCAAGGAATGGAGAGATCGTGTGAGAACAGCTACATACCTAAGTGGTTCCTTGTCATCCTAGAAAAATGTGACAAGTGGGGGACCACAGGGTTCTGTCCACAGGGTTCTGTTCTTGTTTAAGATCTTTCTAAATGACTTGGATGAAGGTATTGTGGTTATGCTCATCCAAAACAAACGGAGGGGTAGCCAGTGCCTCAGAAGACAGAATCAGGATTCAAGATGACCTTAACAGATTGGAGAAGTGGGCCAAAACTAATAAAATGAATTTCAATAATGACAAATGTAAGGTTTTAGGTTGAACAAACAGCTGCACAAACATAAGATGGGAGACACCTGGCTTGACAGTAAAGGTAAAGGGACCCCTGTCCATTAGCTCCAGTCGTGGCCGACTCTGGGGTTGCTGACTCATCTTGCTTTATTGGCTGAGGGAGCCGGCATACAGCTTCTGGGTCATGTGGCCAGCATGACTAAGCCGCTTCTGGCGAACCAGAGCAGCGCACGGAAACGCCATTTACCTTTCCGCCGGAGCAGTACCTATTTATCTACTTAAACTTTGACGTGCTTTCGAACTGCTAGGTTGGCAGGAGCAGGGACCGAGCAATGGGAGCTCACCCCGTCACGGGGATTTGAACCGCCGACCTTCTGATTAGCAAGTCCTAGGCTCTGTGGTTTAACCCACAGCGCCACCCGCGTCCTTGGCTTGACAGTAGTACATGTGAAAAAGATCTAGGGGTCTTCGTAGACAACAAACCTGAGTCAACGGTGTTATGCAGCAGCAAAGAAACCTAATGCTATTCTAGGCTGCATCAAAAGAGTAAGGTATCCTAATTAAGGGAAGTAATAGTCCTGCTCTATTCTGTCTTGGTCAGAGCACCTCTAGAGAACCACAATTTAAGAAAATACTGACATGATGGAACATGTGCAGAGGAGGACTACCAAGATGATAAAAGGTCTGGAAGCCGAGCCTTATGAGGAACAGTTGAGGGAGTTGCTATGTTTGGCCTGGATAAGAGGAGACTGAGAGGAAATATGATAGCCATCTTCAAATATAAAAAATGCTGTCACATGGAAGAGGAAGCAAGCTTGTTTTCTCCTGCTCTGGAAGGCTAGGGCCTGAACCAACAGGTTCAAATGAGGGGGAAAAGGAGATTGTGTGGCAAGGTCCCAATACCTTCCAGGATGCTGGAATAAAGACACATGAAACCAGTATTTTAGATTAATGGGCGAAAAAGGCACAACTTTTATTGGTTACAGAATGTGAGTGGTATTGGTATTGGCTTAGGCATTGGAAATGAAATGACTATATCTGATTCCTGCCCATCTGCAGGAAGTCTTGGAAGCATTAACTACCAGTTGGGGGAAAGCCCTGCTGATGCACATCAACTAGGTACTCCCCCGGGGTCACCACTAGGGGTCGTGCCATGGCCCTAACCCCCCATCTGCGGCTTTGGACAGAGACCACGCCCCTCAGATTTCTTTAACAGAATACCCTTGAATTAGGAGGGGTAGGTGATGGCCACTACCTCTCCTCACCTTCAACCTAATACTCCAATGCCTAACCGCCAAACCTTACAAAGTTGTGACAATTTGCTATGAGGTAGGCGACAAAACCAAATGGGTTCAAATGGCTGATTTCAAATATCTAAAATGCTTTCACATGGAAGAGGAAGCAAGCTTGTTTTCTCCTGCTCTGGAGGCTAGGACCTGAACCAATGGGTTCAAGTTACAAGAAAGGAGATTCCAACTAAACATTAGGAATAACTTTCTGACAGTAAGAGCTGTTCACCTCCCTCAGGAGGTAGTGGGCTCTCCTTCCTTGAAGGTTTTAAAGCAGAGGTTGGATGGGATGCTTTAACTGAGATTCCAGCATAGTAAGAAGTTGGACTCGCTAGGTGACCCTTGAGTTCATTCCAAGTTGACAATTCTCTGATTCTTATGTAAGCCATTCTTGGAACTTCTTTTGACTGAAAAGTGGTGTTAAAAATGCTAAATCAATGTTTGAACAAATAATTCATTTTGATAATTTCATTGTTTTATTCTTTTCATAAACCACTTTGCAGGGTTTTTTTAAAAAACAATCAAGCGGTATTTAATTCTTTGACATAAATAATAAATAAACAAAAGATGCACAAAATTAACATGGAGTACAATATCTAATGAACTAACCATGGTTGTTGTTTTTTCAATTTTCGTCAGCTGCCTAGCCTAGCTTCTTGCTCTGGGGACTGCATTTGCCTTTTGCTTCAGGCTGTGCAGCACAGGATTTCAATATGTCTTTCCTTTGCAGTCACACCCAATGATTACCAACCCCCTGGCTTTAAGGAAGGCAACATCTCTGATTGCCTGCTTTTTGATGGTGAACCAGTGAACCTCAAAGTCGGGTCAGTCTCCACTGGGTTCCACATTATGAAAGTGAGAGTAACAACAGATAGCAAACGGATGGGGTTGCTGGAGAGCAATCTGGTTGAGGAGAATGGTTCCACTGAGATCTCCCATCAGGGGCTAGACTGTGATGAGGAAGAAGAGGAAGGCAGCACTAAAGTAAAGGAAGAGGTTATATACAATATCATTTTCCTGAATCCATTGTGTGTATGTGTTGTAGTAGGGGGGCAGCCCTGTATTGGAAATTTTTTAATGTCTGATGTTTTACATTTTTTTTATGTGCTGTAAGCTGCCCAGAGTTGCTGAGGAAACCCAGCCAGATGGGTGGAGTATAAATAATAAAATTATTATTACTATTACTACTACTTAAAATTCTAGATTTAAAAGGAATTGAATGGTGGTTGTGTCTGACCATGCTGCTGAAAGAAAACATCCTATTATTAAAGCATCCACTGCACAATATCTGTTCAGTCTTTCTTCAGGGCAGTTGTTTCACAGGCAGGATGGTGGACTGCTGAACAGTCCTTAGGCTCAAGAAGTTATTTCTAAGGGCACATCCAGATGTTTGATATGGTTTAAAAAAAAACCCCAAAAAACCAGCAACAACAAACCACCAGGGTTGTATAGAAAGGAACATAGGAAGTTCCAAATTTAATCAGTGGAATAATAACTCAAAATCACATATTATTGTTTGCGAAATAATTAACTATTTAGCAGAGTTAGTCATGAACATGCAGATAACTCTTCCCTGTACTGAACTGAATGAAAAAGAATCCCTGTGCTGTAAATTGTTTTACAGAACCTTCAAGTTGATGGCATGGACAAAAACAGGATGCATGAAGGGAATGCAGATTCAGAAGGCAAAAACAGTGTTTTTTTTAATCAAAAGGGAGCAGGTATTTCTTTATTCATTTGAAATATTTTTGTGCCACCTTTAACAGTGATAACCTTCTCAAAGTAATTTATAGAATATCAAGCTATAAAAAATAAACAAAAATAAAA